AAAAATTGAAAATTTCAGTTGTCTATAAATATCTCAAAAAAAGTGAAAATATTTTGAAAATTAAATCATGTAAAGAAAATGCCAATCTAAATAGCTTGTGAAATTTTCAAGTATCTACGACTTATACTTTTGGAATAATTACAAATATTTAAAATCGTTTGAGGATAAATGAGAAAAATGTTTGAATAGGTACTATAAAATATATAATATTGTTATTCTTTGTTTAATTAATTAATTTTGACCAGGTTTGAACTAATAATATTAAAATAATACTATTAATACTATTAATAATAATAATATAATAATACTTTTTTTTTAATACTATTAAACATATCTGTGTTCAGATTATTTTATTTTTACAATATATAATTTCTATATTAACTAGCTACAAGGAACCATGTATTAAATGTTCAAACCTTAACTATAAAGATCAAACAGTTTTTAAATTTTTAACTATAAATAATCCACAAATTCTTGCAATCCCGTTGAATTTTGTATAAATTTTAATATTTAATCACAATAACAACATAAGTTATAATCAGTTATATTGTAGGCTGTTAAWYCATCTCTTTTACCCCCCGAATTAAATTGAAAAGTACTATACATTTTTATTTTTTTGCTAGAAGTAACTAAACCAACTGATTCATTTTTTTAACGGTAAAGAAATCAAAATTGAAAAATTTTATCAGTTATTTTAAAACAGGTACATATATACATAAAAATAATACATTACACCTTCATAATCTTTTTTAAATGAAGAAAGGCAATTTTCAACGTGTACACAATAAGCAAATTTGATGTATTTACATAGAATAATATAGCATGAAGAACGTGTTGAGGAAGAAACCCATTTGTAATACCTCCTTTACTAATTTAATAGATCTCTACACCATTTACGCTTTAGTCTGCGTGATGGGTTTTTTGGGAGGGAAGAAGGTGGACATAATATGTGATATTAGGGTATTGTTACGCGTGCATAAATTTCAAAAACTTAAATAACAATCTTTTGAAACGAAATAATAATAATAATAATAATTGACATACAATTCAATTTAATTTAAATCTTGATTTTTATTGTTTTATTGATAAATAAAAATGATAAAAATGTAATATATTTTACTTTTTCTTATTTGTATATTTTTTTTAATGTTACACATGCCTATATGACATTTAAAAATAATGATTTTTGTTGTTTAATTTGTGATATCCATTTATAGTTATAGAAAAATATCCTTTAGGTATACATATATATATATACATGAGTAATATTCACGTATATGGTATTACCTAGGTAATACACATTCTATTTTTATATTTGTTTATAAACTAAGTAAATAATTCTAATACTTCCTGTAGAAACATGCATATTCTTTTTACTTTTAAGTTCTTGTAGGAACTTAACGTTCCCCATTCGGATAGCCGATTGTTATGCTTTCCTATATAATATGATTTTATAGCAACAATTGACAGTTTATATAAAATGTTCCTAATTAAAAGTTTTCCAAAAATTATAATCCTATATACACTCAGACGAGTTCAAAATCGTACATTTTAATCAATTATTATCTAGTGATCACTACCAAATGGTACCAGCTTATACATTAAATAGTCAATAATATACAATGGCAATGTTATCGTCACTGTTTACCGTAGAC